ATGAAAATAGTCTGAAAATTTGAAAACAAAAAATTAAAAAATGAAGAGATGAACAACGCACATTATTTCATGGAAATATAAAAAGAGGCCTCGTCGGGCTGTTTGCAAAAATACCAAAATACCAAAATTCCAAAAGGGGGTTGGTTGGTTGGAAGATGGCGCCGGTCCGAAAGCTGGCACATCACACGTACACTCACACACACACGCACACACAACACACACACACACACACACACACACATTTCTTTTTTATTTTTTATTTTTTTTAATCAAAACCAATTTCAATTACTCGACACATAAATATTATGTACACAGGCTTACAGACATATGAAAATAGTCTGAAAATTTGAAAACAAAAAATAGAAAAATGAGGAGATATAAATTTCACCCCTGCAAAAAAAGAACGTTTGCTTCATGGGAAAGCGAGAAATTTGGAAAATGAGAAAAGCCTCACGCTTGAGCAAAAATACAAAGTCTGTAAAGCTACAAGACTCACATCGGGTATACCACGGTTACCCGATGGGAACCTCTACCCGCCCGTGCCCACCCCTTTTTTTTTTTGGCCACCCGTACCTGCCCATACCCGTCTATTTTTTTTACTGGCTGCCCATACCCGTTTTTTTTTTTTTTACCCCTACCTCTACCGGCCACTACCCACCCATGATCTCCAAAAAGGGCATTGCCAACTGTGCCCGCCCTAACAACCACCGCCTTTTGTTTGTGCCTGCCCATACCCAACTCCCCCTTCGGAAGGGGTACCCATACCCGCCCGTATCCTGGTGGTTACAGTTGGGTATGGCCGGGTACGGGCAGGGGTTACCCATTTGCGCTCTCTGGTCCCTACCCGACGGAACCACAAATACAAATACAAATTCACGTTCTAAGTTCACATCTTGCTACCCTACACTTCTTGACACGTGTCCCCGTCCCCATGCTGCGACAGCACCTTCGCAGGGCAACCACACTGTCTCAACTTTCGCATCCTTGAGCCTGGGGCTGCTGCTGGAGGATTTCCCAAACTAGGAAAAATCAGGAATATACTCGAGCACCGGATCTTGGAGGTTAGTGAAAAACTTAGGTGGCTCAAAAAAAAAAAAAAAAAAAAGGACAAAAAGTGGCACGACCGGAGCATTACATCTTGGAGGTTAGTGACAATTTAGGTTGCACAATCTGTGCACAAGATCTTAGAGGTTAGTCAAAAAAATTGAAGTTGCATAACCCAACATGCAGCTCTGGATCACAAAGAGTCCTTACAATTGTCGCACTCGAGGATCAATGCTTGGTAATCAATCATTGGCGATCTGAAGCTGACGCAGTGCGCTGCGCTTTTAGTGATTCTTTTTGTTTCTCTTCTCTTTTGTTTTCAAACCAGCCCCATATGGGACGCTGGGCCCGGTTCCCAGCACGTGTTGCTCCCCACAAATAGACTGGAGCATTTGTCCGCCCCCCCCCAAAAAAAAGGAAAAAAAAACAGCCCCAACCCCACTGGGTGGAGGGTGATAACAGCACCTCCCCCTAGCGAGTCCTCGCTGGCTACTCCAGTATATGGTGGGGAGCAGCACCTGCTGGAAACCTGGTCCAGCATGCCTTATGTTGGTTTACGTCCGAAAAACTGACCTGCTGGAAACCGGGTCCAGCATCCCATACACCATCAGTCATAAACAGTAAGGCTGCGAACCGGGTCCAGCGTCTCTTGGCCATCACCCTATTAATCATAAGAGAAAAATAATTATCCTTCCATTTGTGTGTGTGTGTGGGGGGGGGCGCAGAATGTCCTGGGTCGCACCGGGTCTCTCTGCTCTCTCTGCCCCTCCTTACTGGCATTCGACGAGTGCCAAGGGATGCAGTGCCACGCTGGTCGCAGGGGGAAGCTTGGATCAATCTTCATCCAATCCGTGAACCCGGCTGAGGCGGTAATCTCACCACACCTCTTCCCGGCCTTGTAGTCCCTCTGCTGGATCCTCTGTCCATATCACATCTTCGACCCACCCTCCTTTTTCGCCCCCCAGCCATTCTTTGCAGAACCAAGTGACACCTTGTCATGTCCTTTTTCTCGTGGAGAAGGCCCAGTTTCTCTTTCGCTGATTGCCATCTGTCTGTAATTTCAAGCTGAAATTGTGTCTTCACCTGTTCTCTGTCAGTTCCCCACTTTCTACTCTCACCCCTTCCATTACCAGTGTGCACCTCTCCACCATAACGCCCACAGGAATGTCCTCTTCCCCACCACAAACACGTTTTGAGCAAAACTTTTCCCCCAGCTGTCCTGACCAGTAACCCGCAAGTATAGCCTGCCAGTCCCAGGGCCAATACGACCCGGGACAATGTGCTGCCATATCCTATCCCACCAACGCCAGGTCAAAACCGCAAACTCTGGGGCACTGCAAGAAAATGTGCTCTATAATCTCAGCCCTCTTTCTAGGTGGGTAACTTTGCAAACATCGGTTGCACCAGGGGAGGGCCTTACCCTGCTGCTCCCGAGATGTATGGTGAATCAGCCAATTGCTGGTTGGCAGGCACCTGTGGACGATTTGCCGCTGTAGTGCGGCGGTTTCCGCTCACTTGCGCTTACTGTCGCCAAACCATCTGATCAGTCCTAACAGTTGCCGGTAAATGTTTAGGTGCCTATGCCATCTGCCCATTATTATGTCCCTTAAACCACTACTACCTCCGGCAGTGTTGGGAAAATAGGGAAAAGTGGACATTTTCCCAAATTCCTAAAAATTTGGAGGCCGGTCCCGACGACCGCTGCCATTGATAAATCTGATTGGCGGCCGTCGTTTCGTTTCGGCCTCCGATAGGGTTGGAGGCCCACCCAAGGCACGCTATTTTCCCGTGCCACTAAGGTACTAGTGGTGTCAAGGCCCAGTTCCAAAACCGGGGTGTCCGAGCGGTAGGCCCAGCGGTCCTCTCCTGTCCCCAGACCCGCCCTACCCAGCAGCCTGGTACCATTCCCAAGCGGTAGAGTTCGACCAGGATGGTGTCCTCTCTGACCATGTCTACCATTCCCATCTTGCTTGGGTCCTCCTTCTGCGGCACCCAGTCCCCTTCCTTGAAAATGGGCCGTTTCCTTAAAATGATGTACCACTGTATGGGAAGGGCCTCCACAATTTCTGCAATTGCCACCTCCGGCCTGTGACAATATCGTAATGTTTGCCTCATTTGTTCCCTTATCCCACAGGACCCCAACTCTCAACACCCCCTTCCTCCCCGAGGGCCCCCCTCCTCCCCTTGCGGGGGATTTTCCAATATCTGTTAGCATCGTGAGCTCTCAAAATTCCGAATAGAGGATCGGGCTCTCAAAATTTTGAAGGAAGGATCATGGCAGTCACTGCATGACTGAGTACTCCCCACATTCGCCTCTCTGTGTGCCTTTCGCTGAATTAAATGGACATCCTCAAAATTGACGGCTGGGAAAATATGAATCACAACAATGGCTGGAAGCAACAAGAACTGAATAGGCCTCGCTGCACTACTCACCAAATGTGGAAAATGAGAATGAATCTTCCACCGCAACATCGGAAGATACACCACCATATTCTGTGTCTTTGTGCATGTGGTGAATAGTGCAGCCACGCCCAATAGCAAAAAGAAGAACCAACTCAACATAGCCATGACTATCAAGATACGTTACATGCAGGAAGCAACAACTTGTCATGGTGACAATTTCGGCTTTGTTGCATTGAAGCCCAAGTCGATGCCCATTCAGACTGGTCGAGAACATGGAAGTGCAGCGGCCGCCGTTTCACCTCGCCAAACATGTATGTGCCACATTATCGGATTGTGCGCCCAAAACTTTCATCAGATGATCAGAGCAGTGCCCTGAGAACGCCCTCTGATGTTTGATTGTGGTGTCAATCGGGTGGTGGCAAGGTGAGCTGATATGGTAGCAGCTTATGTGTTCTTGCTGCCTTTCTTTCTGAAATCGACCACAGGATCGATCTCAGGTCTTCTCACCAGCATAGAGACCAAAACAAAGCTGCCTCCTATTGACAAAGCCCGAAAGCGATCTCAGGTCTTCTCACCAGCATAGAGACCAACACAAAGCTGCCTCCTATTGACAAATCACCAAAGAATGCATCATCACCTCGCAGACTATTCAATACCCTGCCGAGGCTACCTTCAAAAAAGCTGAAGAAAATGATGTTGAGATGGAAAAAAGGCTCTAACTTATGTTACCTGGTTGCTTGAACAAGTTGGCGACTATCGCTGGTCTTCAGCGTGGCTATGCAAAAGTGGAACTGTGAGTGTGTGATCACAGTTGTCATGGCTAGGAGTATTGTCCCATTTGCTGTTGGAGTTGTTGACAGATCCTTCAAGCTTTTCAGCATTCTCAGCTGCTAGGTGAGCAAGCTTGTCACCATTGTGAGTCAAACAGTCAGCCGATTTGGCAATCTCAGTGCCTTTCACGAGGAGCTGTGCCCTCTTTGCCTCGTTGTCCCAATCAATGAATGCTGCATATGCTGTGACTGCCAGGCATGCAGTGGACTCTGCAGAGAGGAGACCCCACATGAGGCCAGAAACGCCAAAATGCAGCACAAAAACTATACAGATGGCGAGTGGTAACCCTATACAGTAAAATGCCACAATGCTGACAACAAACAGAAAATTGGGGCGAGCACATCCCCTCAGAATTCCACCCCCTACATACTGCGGACTGAAAAAGAGCTCCGTCACTCCAAGCAGGGGCATCACCTCCGCGATAACAAGCTGTACAGAGTGAATGTTGGTAAATAAGGAGGCCAGCTGGCTGCCAAACAACAATATAATCAGCATGTTGATCACGCCAACACCACCGCCAACGAGCCATGCCACGAAAGCCGCAAGACGAGCCCGCCATGGTTCATTTGCTCCCAGCTCCATCCCAACCCGTGTGCTTGCAGAGACGCTGACACCCATGGGGGCCATGAGACAGGTGTAGGAACAATTCAGCAAGATGGACATTGCGGCGACATTGGTGTCAGGACTCGGAAGCAGACCGGCAAGAATGTTGAGTAGTTCGAAGGACCACCATTCTACAACTATGCTCACACAAGACGGCACACCTAGCTTAAGAATCGGCCGCCACTCCTTCAAGCACTCCCATGACCACCCATGCCATCTGCTAGGACCTTCTTTCGGAGTTCTTAACCAAATCACAAGCACAAGCAGCAAAGCAAAGTTGGTGTCGGTAATGACTGTTGCTACCGCAGCACCTTTGTACCCAAGCCCAGCCTTGAAGATCAACACATAATTTAATGGAATGTGGATTGCAAGAACAATGCATGCACAGATCGACAAAGGGATTGTGATGCACTGTGAGCGCAAGTATGTTCTAAGTGGTATTATCAGAGCATACGATACAAGGTCGGGTATCGTCAGAAAGAGGTAGTTCTTTGTCACAGCAACCATTGCCGGGTCTTGTCCAAGCAGAATGAGGATGCTGTCCACGTTGAGCCAGACTGTGACGATGAGAAAAGCAGCCACACATTGCAGTATAATGATCGAGCGCTGAAGAGTCAGCTGAAGCAGCTTGTAATTACGAGCTCCAAATGCCTGCGAACAGATCGCATCCATGCCTGTGGCCAACCCTAGCACCAAAGACACACCCGTGACATCTGCGAAACTGATTGCAAGGACGGATCCTGCAAGTTCAACCTCCTTGAGACGACCAAGGTACATGATCGATATGAGCACTCTGACGAACCACAGCAAGTTCGCCAGCGCTGTCGGCGCTGCAATTTTCCAAAGGTTATTGAATTCCACCCAAATGTGAAAAAGATTCAACGACATAAACATCCGATCCCCACCATCACGGTGGCCATCCTTAACTCCTGGGAGAAACCGCGGCAGTTCCGGCGGACCCGCAAATTCCCTGTTTTCTAGACAGGTAGCCGTGCGGCCCGTGCTGCAAGTTTCCCGAGGGCCAGCGGCGGAGCCCATTGCCACATCTTCACCGTCGCTCGTCCTCGAGACAACTCCCTTCAGGTCACTAACAGGAATAGCAGCTGCTGCCCCAGCTGGCATGCCATCAAGTACTCCCTCAGAGTCTTGGTTCTGCTCGGAACCCATGTTGCCAGAGTTGCAATGACTTAGCACACAGGGGGTGAGATCACTTAGGTTCTCCTCCAAACTTGCGTGAGAACTACAACAACTGACCGTGTTCTTTCTCCTGCTCAGACAGGTGATGCTGAAGAGGCCCTGATCACAAATCACAGGTCACAGTATCCCCAGTAGAGAGGCTGCTGTCACAATGGCAATCTGCGACCAAAAAAAACAACAACATCAAGCAGGGCAGTTCAGGATCTGGAGGAACTCATAAGCACATTCAAGGGTACGAATCAGTGCCGGACCCATGAACGTGACCGGCACCAGTCACTTGAACGTGACCGGCCGTTCATTTGGTGTTTTTTTTGTGAACGGCCGTTCACGGTGAACGGGCCAACCACTAAACAGTGGTGTTTTTTTTTTTTTTTTTTTTTTTTTTTTT